GGAAATTTGTGAATATTTATGTTCTAAACTTGGTTTTTTATTTTTGCATGACCTATGTTATTTTGTCAATCTGTTCGAGTACAAAATGCTTCAGTCATGGTTAAAAAGAGATAAATCTCCAGCTGCAACTACTACATCTGTTGAAAATAATAGCCCAGTCACTTCATCACACATAAATATCGATGAACCATCTCCATCTACGTCTACATCTAAACCGATTAAACCGTTGAATATAAGTAAAGTATATGGAGACACTGATGTTTTTCATTATAGTCATAGAAATGGTAGACATTATATAACATGTATCCCTTGTTCAAAACATCCAAATATAAACAAAATATATTCTAAAACGGTTCCAGCCATTGCTCAAATATGTGGTACAATTTATCGAGAAGATGTAAAAAAAAAACATTTGTTATCTGAGGGTCATATTTTATGTACTAGAGCACATCGTTTGTCATCATTAAGTAGCAGTGAAGTCCTTAAAGACAAATCCAGTGCCATTGGTTTGGCTGTATCAAAAGCTAATAATGATCTTGCTTCCAAAATAGGTAGCTGTATGATACATGTGTATAATGATGCTAAAAAATTGACATTGTCAGGATATTCCTTTCCCGGGCGTGTAGTAGTATCTAGGTATGCATCTAATTTTCAAATGAATTCAAATGAATTTGAAATGAACAATACAGATTTACAATACTTATCCCCGAATGGTCACCGTAATTTTTTAGAATGTATTGCAAATACTGATAAATCAAGAGTCATCGATACAATTTTAAATACAACTTTGGCTATTTCCTTAAGATGTGACGGAAGTGTAGATCGGATGCAGGTTGATAAAATTTATGTTTTAGTTAAAATAATTAACAACGATGGTAGTGCAGAATTACTATTTTTAGGTGCAGATGAACCAAAAGAGCGTGGGGTTAAAGGCATGATTAGAGCAATTGAAGATGGATGTGACAAACTATTTGGTGAGGGTAGCTTCAAAAAAATTATTTTAAAAACTTCATCTATTGTGACCGATGGAGCCAAATGTAATACAGGGGAAAAAAATGGATTATGGGCATTACTAAAACAAATGCGTCATGTGAGTGCTGATGAAAATACTGAGGCTGAGACATCAATACCTCCTTTAATGACCATATGGTGTGCAGCTCATCGGTCTAACTTGGCATGGAAGTCTGTGTCAGAAAGTGTTAGAGAATTAAAACATATTGTTATTGAATTAGTTGCAATAAGTTCATTTTTCCATACATCAGGACTTCGTACACGTGAACTTAAAAGTATTGCCGAAGAAAAAAAATTAAGCCTAATGAGATTACCTAAATTGTTTGAAGTAAGGTGGAGTGAGTTCACTTATGATCTTTTGAATTCAATATTAGTGTCTTGGAATGTGTTGGTTTTATATTTTATGAAATCAACAGAAAAGTCATCCATAGGATTTAAAAATTTTTTGACCAACTATGATAATATATATATAATTGCATTTACTGCAGATTTGTTGTTTTTATTTTCAAATTACCAAAAAAAATTGCAGTCAGATAGTCTTACAATAACCGATATGGATAAATTAACTAAAAATGTACTAGACCAAATAGATTTATTAAAAACTCAAAATCTATTAGGTGGTTGGTTGTATAATTTAGAACTACAAATAGAAAATAGAAAAGAAGAACTATACTAAAAATGTATTAAACTTCATACAACTGAACGGCGCACTAAACAACACAATAAATATGTGACAGACAAAAGAGATAAACAAGCAATTATTAATGAAATTAGAGAAAGTTTAATGGAATTTTTATCTCAAAGATTTATACAAGATATAGACACAATAAATATTTTAAAACCATTTGTCGAACTGTCACAACAATCAAACATTGAACAAGTTCATAAAATATTATGTTATGATTTAGATTTACAGCTCTTCAATCAAGAGTACCAAGAGCTTTTAATGAGAATATTATAAAGTATAGAAACATGAAACCATCAGATTTACTTAAACTATTATGTACTTCTAATGAATATTGTAACTTGAAAATCGCATTAGCAAGAATAATAGCTGCAAAACCATCATCTGCGGATGTGGAAAGGTTAATAAGTGCTAGTAACAAACTAAAAACGTCTGAAAGAGCAAGAATGATAGTCTCAACAGAAAATTATTATTTATATATTCACTACAATATGCCAGCATTAATTAATTGGGATGTAAGAAAAGCAGTTTTACATTTTATGAAAATGAAGGAAAGAAGGAACACTAATAGACCAAAAGGAAAGTCACAGAACTACTTTAAGGGTATATTTCAAGAAGCGGATCCAGTAAGTTCTGAGAGTGATACTGAGGTAGAGACCGAACCTAATACAGCCAGCGGATTGATAAAAAAAAAAAAAGTTTTAAAATTAAAAATTGTTAATATTTTTTGATGTAAAAGTTTAAAATTAAAAAGAAGTTACCTAGTTAATTAATTGTTTTTATTTTTATAAACAATTATTATTACAAATTACCTATTACAAGTACATTTTACTTAGTAAGTATTATTACATAACATATTTACAAAAATATTATTAAAAATGTAGGTAGTAGGTACAGTATACAATAGACAGTTGTATTATAGCAGTTCAACGGGTAAGTGATAACAGTCCGAAAGTCTGGTCTGAGTAGACAAATCCAACAATTTCAAGAGAAGGAATATGTTTGTGCAGTGAGAAAAAATCGTTAAAAAAAACCCTGACATACAATATTCATATTAATATGTATGTATCTATTTTATAATATTATCTTTATGTCCTATAAGTTATAAGCTATAACTATATCAATTAATATTATAATATATTTTATGTTTTGATATTAAAGTACATACATTAACACGTTAGCCGCCGTGTGCCCGCCGGCGGTCGTTTATTGATACGCCAAGTGTGTTTTCCCAAGTTATTACTAATTTGTATGTATTTATATCTTTGGTTCTAGTGTAGCTATTAAATCGATTCCAAGAGTAAAGTTATCAGCGATAAGTACTAATTTTAAACAGTGTTATAACTTTGTATGGTCGCCGGCGACCATGTGGCGTGGTGATAATACGATTTTACTTCTGACGCCATTTGCCCACCGGCGACCAAACGGCAAACATACTATTATTTTCCATATTGTGTTTGTTTTAATTTTTTGTAAATTAAGTTATCAAAATGGCTAGCTCAAGCAGGCCAAAGAGGCAGCGTATCGATGATTGCATTAATGATGATGAAATAGTTAACGAACTTTTTTTGTGATGAATTGAGTGATTTTAGTGATTTTAGTTCGAAATTGACGATTCAGATGCTGATCGTGATTATTTTTCTTCTGAATCAGAGAATTCAGTAGTAGATTCGACTAATATAGGTAATAAAACTTTATTAATTTTTATTTAATATTTATTATTCATTTTTATTTTAATTTTTTTAAAATTTAAATTATTATTTTTACTTTATTTTATTTTATTGTATTTTACAATACGGACGTTTATAATTATTATTTGGGCCGGGACACATTTTTTATCACAGAACTTTTTATTCATAATTTTAAATCAAATATTTTAATAAAGTTGACATATTATTTTAAATTATAGAAAATAATCAGAATTTCAATATTGAAAATAATCATAATACATCTTCTACCGTTTGGTTCGATGTATCAGGAACATACCAAAAACCACTTATCTTCAATAAGACTCCGGGTTTCAAAATTGATATTCCTGATAATGCCTCAGCTTTAAATTATTTTAAGTTATTCTGTAGTACAGATATTTTTGAGCTTATGGTAGTTGAAACTAATCGTAACGCTGAACAGTTTCTTTCAAAGAGCAGGCTAACTAAGTCCAGTAGATTCTCTAAATGGTCACCAACAAACGTCGATGAAATTGAAAAGTTTATGGGCTTACTCTTGTGGTTTGATTTAGTTCAAATGCCGAGTTTAGAAAGCTATTGGAGTACCAAAATTAGATACAAAAATAATGTTTCGAAATCGATTTGAATTACTCTTAAGATTTTGGCATTTTGCGGATAACGAGGAAACCGCTGATAATGATCGTATCTATAAAGTTCGTGATTTGCTCGAACGTGTTGTAAAAAATTATCAAAATGTCATGGAACCAGATGAGTACTTAGCAATAGATGAGTCAATGATTTCATTCCGTGGTCGATTGAAATTCAAGCAATACATACCCGGGAAGGCGCATAAATATGGAGTGAAGCTATTTAAAATATGTGAAAAAAATGGATATACACATGATTTACAAGTATATGCTGATAAAAATCAGGTAGATGGTAAAGGTCTAGCACTTAGAGTTGTAATGGAGTTAATTAGACCTTATTTAAATTTAGGACGTACTGTAGTTACAGATAACTTTTATACATCCATGCCATTGGCTCGTGAATTATTGAAGAACAACACACATCTGGTAGGAACATTGAGAACAAATCGTGTTAAGTTACCTGAAGTGTTAAAAACAAAATTGAAAAAAGGACAAATAATTGGAAAAGAAAGTACAGATGGGATAGCAGTGGCGAAATGGCACGACAAACGAGATGTTGCAATGTTGTCTACCAAACATGGTATTGAAATGATCGATACAGGCAGGGCCGTCCTTAGGATTTGCGAGGCCCAGGGCGAAAATTTTTGTAACACTGTTTTGCTACTATACGAGTATATATATATGTACTATAACCATATAAAGACATTAATATTTTATATCCTACAAAGCTCATTTATTAAAATTTAAAATGAGAGTTTTTTTTTATAAAATATTATAAATGAAATAAAATAATAATTGTGCAGTAGCATTAAATACATGTTTTTTTTATTTAATTACCTATAAATCATTAACTTTTGATATTCATACAAATTTGCTTTAATTTAATAAAATACAAAAAAATAAAATAAAATAAAAATAAAATATGAAAATACATTTTCAATAAACAGATAAATAAAAATAATAAAAATACAATAAAAAATCGTTTTACATTTAAAAATTAATTTTTCTGGCTTTTATTTCTGCGAACTTTTCAATAATATCGTTATAGTCTATATTTTCACATAAATCTCGTTCTATTGAAATAATCGCTAAATCAGAAAGTCGATCTTGCAACATTGTTGTTCTCAAATAGTTCTTAATGATTTTTAGCTTTGAGAAGCTTCTCTCAGCACTTGCAGTAGTTATTGGAAGAGTTAATAATATTCTTAATGCAATAGATATGTTCGGAAATGAACCACATGTTGATTCTATTAAATTAAGACACTCAATAGATGTTTTTGGTTTGTTCAAAATTCTACAAAATATTTTTAACTCGTCAAAAAGTTCAATTCCACTTAAATCACAATTTTCACCATCCTTTAATAATATTTCTAAATCCATACAATGTTTTCGTAATGTTTCATCTTCAAATAACTTCAAATTTTCAATATTATATAAGAATCCAAAATTTTCTGAATGATGAGATAATTGCTCAAAGCGTTGGTTAATTGATACGATTGCTTGATCTACCACTGTCAAAAAATAATCTTGATAAAATTTTTGTTCATTCGAAACTGTACGTGTATCATTACTTTCATAACCAAACTGCTTACTTTTTTTTAGAATTCTAGATTGTTTAAAAATTGCTGGAGTTCCAATGTCTTCACATAATTTTTGTGCAGTTTTTTTTGATAACTGAAACCCCTTTTCTCTAAAATTAGTAAAAAAATCTTTAAGACCACTTAATAACTGAACAGCATTACTCAATTCCATACTTTCGCTCTGAAGACTCTTACTAACTTTATTAATAGCAGATAGTAGTTCATACCAAATAACAACACTTAAAATAAAATCATAAGAAAATTCATAATTTGCCAAAGACGAACTTTCACTTTTTATTTTAGGATCTTTTGTTAATTCACTGACTTCTACTAAAGCATCGTGTACTTGGCATAATTGAAAACGAATGGGTTTAATTGATTCGATCCGAGATTCCCATCTGGTATCTGATATTGGTTTTAAAGTAAAATCTGAAAGGTATTTTAAAAGAATAGTCCATCTTTCAGTAGAAGCACTAAAAATTGTATAAATTCGTTGAATAACGCCAAAAAATGTCATAGCAGCCGGTATAGACGATGCCATATCTCCGAGAAGTAAGTTAAGGCTGTGAGCAGTGCAAGGTACAAAAAAAGCTCTAGGGTTCTCTGAAATAATTCGTGATTGTACTCCCTGTTTGCGGCCTATCATATTTGCCCCATTATCATATGCTTGGCCACGGCAATTTTTCAAGTCTAGGTTCATTAATTTTAATTGTTGTTTTATTTCCTCAGTTAAATTTAAACCAGATTTTTTTGAAGTATGTATAAAGCATATAAA